CTCCTCCTCCTCCTCCTCCTCCTCCTCCTCCTCCTCCTCCTCCTCCACCTCCTCCTCCTCCTCCTCCCCTCCTCCTCGCCCTTCTCCCCCTCGCCCAGAACGCTCCCAAAGCATTCCGGAACGCTCGGAGAAGGCCGCGGCGCCCGAGACCTTTTCCAGAACCGCAAGATGTCAGAGATCCCCGATTGATCCACACACGGACATATCCTCGTCCTGGCTTCGTCCCAGGCCCACCGACCACGCCTCTTGCCCGCGGCAGCGCCCCCCGCGAGGTCGAGGATCTCGGCGACGATGTGCTCGATAACTGCGGTCAGGTAGATCGGCGCACCAGCCGCCACGCGGCTGGCGTACTTGCCCTTCTTCAGCTTCTCCCTGGGGAGGGGGAGGGAAGAAGGGGGATGGAAGAGAGGTTAAAGGAGCAATCAGCCTTTTCCTTACTTACTTACGCAGCGCCATCGGGCGTCACCCAACCCCACCGCTGCGCGCACGCGGACGCCCCAGGGGCCCTGGCCTAGCGCGGCCGCGGGTCGCACCAACGCCTGAGTGAGACGTTCCAGAATGGGGGGAGGAGCAGGAGGAGACCGTGCCCTAACATGATAAGAGCGAAGGAGGGAGGAGTGGGAAAAGACCTCTGGTGGCCTACAGGTCCGCCGTCGACTTGGTCGGGTCCGCAATCGTCGAACCGCATCGTCACGCACAGAAGACGAGGATCGGCTACTGCCTAAAAATTGGGTCGACTACGCGCGCCTCACAGCCAGCACGCGCGCCTGCTGTCAGGCGACGACGCGAAAGAAAGGGGGGAAAGGTCGAAATCATCGCGAGGAGGTGTCGGTGGGGCAGGCGCTCATGGCGCGGCACTCGCAGTTGCGGGTCTCGATGCGCGCATCCTGGTGAAGTAGGACTCACGCACCTGTCTGGCCTGCCGTCTGGCAGCCTCCCCCTGCGTTTCCTTATCCTCTGTCTTTCGCGGGGTCGCTTCCTCCGGTTTGTCTCGCGCCAGTGCCGCCCCCTCCTTGACCTCCTCGTCCTCAAGTGTCCTCGTCGCCTCGCCCTCGGGTTGCCTGCGGCCTCGCAGCCTCCTCCTCCTCCTCCTCCTCCTCCTCCTCCTCCTCCTCCTCCTCCTCCTCCTCCTGCTCCTCCTCCTCCTCCTCCTCCTCCTCCTCCGCCTCATCATAATATTCCTCAGCTGCCTTTTTCTCATGCCTCTCGCGCTGGGCCCTCAAGTCCTGGACCCGCACCGCGACGAGGTCCTCCTTGTGGGCTCGCGCTGCGTCCTGACAGGCGCACTCGACGCACCAGCCCGACACGCCCTAGTCGCACGGGGGGGCCGAGCTGAAGCCAACGGTTCAGGGCGTCGGCGTCGTCAGCATCGACAGGTCGGCGCACGAGGGCCAGGCGATGGCCCCCCGTGCCCCCCAGTTGATGCACCTCCTGCGCCTCCACATCGCCTCCCCCGCCCCCTCCCTGAAGTTATCCCAGTGCGACCCTGCCCAGGAGTTGGAGCCTCTAGGAAAGCAACATTAGTAGCAACGGTAGTGGATGCTGTGCTGCGCTATGCTATGCTATGCCATGCTATGCTATGGTATGCTATGCTATGATATGCTATGCTATGCTGCGCAATGCTATGCTGGGCTAGGCTAGGCTAGGCTAGGCTAGGCTAGGCTATGCTATGCTGCGCTATGCTATGCTGCGCTATGCTATGCTATGCTATGCTATGCTATGATATGCTATGCTATGCTATGCTATGCTATGCTATGCTATGCTATGCTATGCTATGATATGCTATGCTATGTTATGCTATGCTATGCTATGCTATGCTATGTTATGCTATGCTATGTGTTTGCTTTGCTTTCGTTTTTGCCTTCATTGTTGCCTTTGCTTTTGCTTGGCACCCAGGGAGCGCAACTGGGGGAACCGCGCGTTTGCTTTTACCTTTGCTGTTGCTTTCGTTTGGCTCCCAGGGGACTGGGGGAACCGCCCGGGGCGCTTTCCACTGCCCAGCCCCTTTAAGCTACAGAGTAAGAACCCTTCTAGGCAGAGCCTAGGTAGGGAAATATGATGGGAGCCTTCTCCTTGGAGGCAAATGGAACCTGAGCCAAAACACACACGGCGCGGCATGTGACCTCACACGGCCTCGACATGTCATCGCAATGTTGTACCCCGCATCTCCTGCCAACCTACCCACCCAGTCGGACCGTCATAAGATTCCCCCCCCCTCCCCCGCGGCTGATAAGCCGCCTGTGGAAAGGATGAGATATGGAAAGCAAAAGCGACTGAGTAACGAAAACTGCGACTGTGATAGCAGCGGCTATAGGAGGCCCCGCGGCGAGTCTTGATGCGCAGACGCACGCCAGGACCCCGTCCTAGCACGCGAAGGTGTAAACCTGAAGAAATTGCAAGCATAACTGGCGCAAGTAGAAGACGACTATGAGTTGGGCGCAAGCGCGCTTGGGCTTTCTAACGCGCGATATGCCATTCGTAAGTGTCGCGAGGCACCAAGTCACGCAGACTGATTTACATAGTCTGCGGTGTAGGTTTTGAATCGCGTAGGCAGGCATCTGGATCTTAACCGATCCTGACCTCAGACCCTAGCGAAGCGGCACGCGATGATAACCCGGATGCGAATTGAGCAAACAATCCGTAGCGGGCGCCAGCTCGTCTTCCTCTCACAATACCTTGACTAGTACCGCGCCTATGCATGGGCACGCTGTCACTGCTCACAAAGCCAGTCTAAGCATTTGCAAGGTTCTCAAAAGTTCCGACTTCGGTCACGTTGATGTTTCCTCGTCGTACTTCCTCCTGTAACCCGAGCTGACGAACCTCGACGTGTCTGACTTTTCCTGACACGGGTGGGTTCCAGCTTCGCCTCCCACATCTCGCTCAGCAACGCCAGTGCCCGCTGCCATCGCTCGCCCTTCTCGCACGCGTTGATCCCAGCACTGTAGCTGACTAGGGCTGACCCGCGGCCTTGCGGCCGCGGAATCGGCCCGCCATGGCGCGGACGCGGAAGTGGAGCGTCTCCGGGGCCTCGAGGTTGGGGTGTCAGAGGTCTCAAGGCAGGAACGCGGTGGTGGAGGCGGTGTCAGCGCAAGCACATCCACATAGGCACAGTATGGTCTGGACAGAAGCTGTTTATCACGCCCCGCCCTGTGTTCATCATAGTTTCTGCGTGGCGGGGCGCCGTGATAATTGTATCTGCTCTTCGCCGGGCATGGTGGTGAGAATGGGGCCGGTTGGCGCGGGCATGTCCCTGTACGTTCGTCTGGAGCTTAGACTAGACGGCCGACGAGGCCCGCAAGAGGGCGCCGAGACGGCCCGAGAGGTCTCCAGGACGGGCCAAGAGGCATCCAAGACGGCCCAAGAGGGCCCCACGAACTCCATAAGACGGGCCCCAGCGCGAGGACACGAATCGACCTTTCGAGCTCACCGCCCCAAGACGTCCCCAAAAGGCCCAGAGATGGCTCCCAGAGGGTCCAAGAGGCCCCGAAGACGACGCTGGAAGTTCGAACAGGCTCCCAGGAGGCCGAGCAAGCGCCCTCCTTGGAGGGTCCCGAGAGCCTTCCGAGGGCACCTCAAGAAGAATTCCTGAGGAATCGGACCTTCAACCCAGGCAGGGAGGCATGGCCGGAACAGCAGAGAGGCGATGCAAATGCAACAAAAAATGCTGCGCCCTGCACGTGCGAAGCGCACTGCACCGCGGGGATGGCGGATGTCGCGGTCCACGACGTCGTGATGGCGCGGAATGCTCGCCATCGTGAAGTCACCATCCGTGCCCTCCTCTCCGCACTGGAGCCGCTCAGGCGCCCAACGCACGGAAGGATCATTACTTTGGCTGCGCGTTGGGAGCCTTCTCGGGGTGTCTGGACACTCTTGGGGCCTTCTTCAGGGCATGCTAGGGCCATCTGTGTGGCTCCGATCGGCTTTGGGGCCCTCCTCGTCCTCCCCATGGATCCTTCATCCCGTCAATCCTCGTTTGGAGCCGTCTCGGTGCGTCTGGACCCTCTTGGGGCCTCCTTCGGGTCATGCTCGGGGCATCTCGGTGGCTTCTATCGGTTTTTGCTGCCATTTTGAGCCCCCTCCTCCTCCTCCTCCTCCTCCTCCTCCTCCTCCTCCTCCTCCTCCTCCGCCGCCTCCGCCTCCGCCTCCGCCTCCGCCTCCAGCTCCCTTCCTCCTCTCTCTCCTCCTCCTCCTCCTCCTCCTCTCTCCTCCCCTCTCTCCTCCCCCTACCTCTCCTCCCTCCTCCTCCTCCTCCTCTCCTCCTCCTCCTCTCCTCCTCCTCCTACTCCTCCTCCTCCTCCTCCTCCTCGATCTTTCATCCCGTCTATCTTCGATCGTCAATCAGACAAGCATCCAAGGCCTCTTGGGGGCCGTTTGGGGGCCTCTTTTCGTCCTCCTAGGGGTCTCTCTCTCGGGGCCCTCTTGGACCGTGCTGGGTGCCTTTTGGGCCGTCTTGGCGCGATCTGGGGCAGCATTGGGCGCCGCTCCGGCCATCTTGGGGCCTTCTTGGGGCCATCTTGGGCCGTTAGTGGCCGCTCTTGGGGCTGTCTTGGGTGCCTCTTGGGCCGTCTCGGGCGCCTCTGGAGCCGTTCCGGGCCGTCTGGGGGCGTTTGGGGGCGATCTTGGGGGCCTGTACACCTTGGAGACTGCGCAGACGAAAAGAAAGGACATTGGAAAAATAACAGTTTTCCGGAGGGAACGGGACGATGTTTGCCTCTTGGGGCTCTCCTGGGGGTCCTCCTGGGCTGTCTTGGGAGCCTCCTAGCCTGCCCTGCGGACCTCTGGGGCCGTCCTTGTGCTCGCTTGGGGTCCTCTTGGGGCGTCTTGGCGCCCTCTGGAGCGTCTCTGAGCCGTCCTAGGGGCCGTCTTGGAGCATCTTGGGACCCCCAGGAGCCGTCTGGGAGCGCCCCGGGGGCTCGCAGGGCGCCCCGCAGGGCACGGGGGGGTCTTTCAAGACAGTGGACCTTCTCGCACGGAAAGGCCCCTGCATTGTAAAAGAGACTGGGGCTGACCCGTGGACTCCGGCCACGACATCTGTCTGGAGTGGTTCTCGGAAGATCGTCGGGGATTTTGCCGAAAACAGATAAGCACGGCGGCGGCCACGGCGGCGGCAGCGAGACCGCGCGTTCGTGTCCGAGCTCTTGCAGCGCTCCAGCAGCTTGGCCCCGGCGCACGGCACGTTCGCCCCCCTCCTATTGGGGGCAGTTTTGAAGTCTCTCAGGGATGCGCGTCGAAGTCGAAGGCCATCTGAGGCGTCTCAAAAGCGCCCGGGAAGGGGCTCGGGAGGCCCTCGGTGAAAGCCTCCGGAAGCGCCAGGGAGGCTCGCAAGGATCTCTGGGGAGGGCCCAAGAGAGCTTCAAGAGAGTGTGAAATTCAATGAAGTCATATCAGAAATCACTGTTGGGTCGGACGTGCTCCGCTACGTTGGGGAAGCCGTTGTGTTGAAGATCTGATTGACGGCGAAGCTTTCTCGGGCGTGTCAAGAGCGCTGGGCCCCCTCTCTTGGAGGCAGTTATGAAGCCTCTTTGGGCATATTGGGGGGTTGACGACCTCACAGGTCCTCTTTTGGGCCTCTTCGGGACCTTTGGGGACCCTACTTGGCCGTCTGGGCTCCTCTTGGGCCGTCTTGGGGCCACGTTCAGAGCTCCGTACGTCGTCTGGACCCTCTTGAGGCTGTCTTCTCCTCCTCCTCCTCCTCCTCCTCCTCCTCCTCCTCCTCCTCCTCCTCCTCCTTCTTGCCTCGATCATGCATGCCCTGGATCTTGGATCGTCGATCGTAGACCCTCGGAGCATCGAAACGGCTGAGCATCGAATCGGCTGTTGGGGCTTCCGTTCTGCCAACTCACCTCTTTTCCGCCCCTTCTCTGATGGAGGGAATTCTGTCGCCACTTAGGGCCTCTTGTCGGCCGTGTGGAGGCCTCTTGGGGCTTCTTTTCGGCTTCGAGGGGGTCTCTTGGGGCCCTCTTGGGCTCGCGTCGGTGCCGTTTGGGCCGTCTCGGAACCGTCGTGGGCCGTCTTAGGCGCCTCTTGGGCCGTCTGGGGGCCGTCTTGGACCGTCTTAGGCGGCTCTTCGGGCTGTCTTGGGTGCCTTCTTGGCCATATTGGGACCGTCATGGCCCGTCTTGGGCACCTATTGGGCCATGTTCGGGCCGTCTTGGGCCGTCTGGGGCCGTCTTTGGGGCTGTCTTTGGTGCCTTTTGGGCCGTCTTGGGCGCCTCGTGGGCCGTCCTGGGCCCGTCTTGGGGCCCCGATGGGGGCATCTTCGGACGATCGTCATCATCATCATCATCATCATCATCATCATCATCATCATCATCATCATCATCATCATCATCATCATCAGCATCATCATCATCATCATCAGCATCAGCATCAGCATCAGCATCAGCATCAGCATCAGCATCAGCATCAGCATCAGCATCAGCATCAGCATCAACAGCAGCATCAGCATCAGCATCATGAGCATCAGCATCATCATCATCATCATCATCATCATCATCATCATCAGCAGCAGCAGCAGCAGCAGCATCATCATCATCATTATCATCATCCGCCGTCTTGCCTCGATCATGCATGCCCTGGATCTTGGATAGTCACTAATAGACCCTCAGGCCATCGAAAACGGCTGTTGGGACCTGCGCTCTGCCTCTCACCTCTCGTCCGCCCCCCCTCTGTTGGAGGGAATTCCGTAGCTGTTTAGGGCCTCTTGGGGGCCGTGTGGGGGCCTCTTGGGGCTTCTTTTCGGCTTCGAGGGAGCCTCTTGGGACCCTCTTAGGCTCTCGTCGGTGCCGTTTGGGCCGTCTCGGAACCGTTTTGGGCCGTCTCAGGAGCCTCTTGGGCCGTCTGTGGGCCGTCTTGGACAGTCTTAGGCGGCTCTTCGGGCTGTCTTGGGTGCCCCTTGGGCCGTCTTGGGCGCCTCGTGGGCCGTCCTGGGCCCGTCTTGGGGCCCCGATGGGGGCATCTTCGGACGATCGTGGGTGGTCGTGGACGCGTCGGAGACGAAAAGCACGAGAATGCCAAACATGTGAGTTTTCTCAAGGGAGTGAAACGATGTTTGCGTCTCCGGGCTGTCCTGGGGAATCCTCTTTCGCCGTCTTCGGAGGCTCCTGGCCTGCCATGGGGGCCCTTGGGGCCGTCGGAGAGGCCTCTTGAGCGGTTCGGAGCGCCCCAGGGGCCGTCGCGGTGGCCTGTGGAGCGGCTTGGAGCCGTCTCGGGGTCGTGGGGGCGCCCTCTTGAGCGGTTCAGAGCCGTCTGTGGGCCGCCAGGGCGGTCTCTGGAGCGTCTCGGAGCCGTCGTGGGGCCGCCGGGGCGCGCTCTTCAGCGGCTCGGGGCCGCCGGAAGCCACTATGTCCAGAAACCCTTCTCGCACGCACTGTTCCCAGGATCATAGGAGAGACCACAGTGGGCTCCAGCTCCACCTCCCGCATCTCGCTCAGCAGCGCCCGCACACGCTGCCACTGCTCGCCCTTGTCGCACGCGCTGATCCCAGCGCTGTAGCTGATGGCCCTGGGCTCCGACTTCGCATCACGCAACTCGCTGAAGAACCTGCGACATCGGGCTAAAACTTCACAAACAACATCCGGCTCAGCTACGGCAGGGTACGCCACTCTTACACGTGCTGATCCCTGCGCTGTGGCTAGCCAGGGCGGGCCCATGTCATGGTATCCAAAGCGGTTTCATGCACGATGGAATGCCACTGCCAAGTTCAAAGCACCGATGTCCGTCAACGTAGTCGCAGTGGTTGCCCAGCAGGGTCCCACACGCACAGTGTTTCTCAAGATGCTCGAAAACGCGAAAGACCGACCTGAAGATAGCCAGGCAGTCCTACCAAGTGGCGAGACGACCTCTCGTACGCTGTGATGCCCAGATTGTAACTGTTTTCGCTCGGCTCCAAATAGCTCTTCCGCATTTCGCCGAGCAGCGACAACGCTTGCCGCCACTGACCGCATCTCCCACACGCGACGATCTCAGCGTTGTAGCTGACTAGTGTGTACCCGTGGAGCAAATCCGCAGGTACCCTGACAAGGGAACGAGGCGGGGCCATCTCTGGGCCGTCTTGAGGGTTTCCCTGAGCTGTCTTGACGCTCTCTCGGGCCGTCTTGTAGGCTTGCAGGAGATTCTGCGAGCACCCGGAGGACCTGGAAAATTGCCCCGAGAGGGGCTCGAGAGGGCCCGAAGACGGCCCCAAGAGGGCCCCCAGAAAGGACCCGTCGGATTCTACAACAGGAGGGTGCGTTGTAGCATCCGTTGGGGGCCTCGTCGGGTTCTCTCTCTGGGAGCGATCTTGGGACCGTCTTCGGACGCTTGGACTCTAGTGGGCCATCTCCGGGTCATCTTGGGTCGTCTTGGGCGCCTCTTGGGCCTCCTACATCTCGCTCAGCAGCGCCAGCGCCCACTGCCACTGCTCACCCCTCCCACACGCGCTGATCCCAGCACTGTAGCTGACTAGTGCGTACCCGTACCCGCGGGGTGGATCACCACCATCGAAGCACAGGGGGTAGTGCCTGCAAGGCAGGGTCCAACAACCTGTCACGAAAAAGGGTCTTGCTTGTGACAGGTTGCCGTTATTTTTTCACTGGCCCTAAGAGGCCGCGCGGCCAGAGAAAAAACGGGGGGGCGGCCCGACGACGACGACGACGACGTTCTCGCTGAAGGAAAAGTTTGGGCTCGCAGGCCCAAGAGGGCCGTTCGGAGCAGGCAGTTGGCAGGATCCGTTGTTTTTTCGGTGGCCCTAAGAGGCCTTACGGCCAGAGAAAAAGCGGGGGGGCGGCCCGCCGACGACGACGACGACGACGACGACGACGACGACGACGACGACGACGACGACGACCTTCTCGCTGAAGGAAAACTTGGGGCTCGCAGGCCCAAGAGGGCCTCTTGAGGAGTCCTGTTGGAGCTCTTTGGGGCCGTCTCAGCGCTCTCTGGGGCCATCGTGGGGCCCTCTTGGGTCGTCTTGGAGGGCTCGGGCTGTCTCGGGGCCCTCGTGCTGCCGTCTGGGGCTCCCTTGGGAGCATCCCGTGGCCCTCTCGGGGCTTTCCTGGGAGCGTTTTGGAGCCCTCCGGGGTCCGTCTTGGGCCGTCCTGGAGCTCCCTGGGGCCGTCTTGGGGCTCTCTTGGGCCGTCTGGGCGTGCTCTTGGGTGCCTCTGGGGCAGTGTTGGGCCGGTTTGGGAGGCTCATCCTTCTTGGACGCTCTGCCGACCCAGAACGCGACTCTGGCAAAAATGTACGTTTTCCAAAAGGAATGGGGCGATGTTTGTTTCGTGGGGGTCCTTTCGGAAGCCTCAGGGGGCGGCTTCGGAGCGTCTGGAGCCGTCCTGGAGCCGTCTGCGGGGCGTGCCGCGTCGATCTGGAACGGTCTTGGGCCGTCCGCTGCGCGATCGGGGCCGCTCCAAAGGCTCCGCGGCGGCCCTGGGGGTTGTCCGGGGCGGCCCGGAGCGCCGAAGGGCTTGCTGGGAGCGGCCCGGAGGAGGCCAGTTCGATGCCACCGAAAGCTCTGCCACACGCGCTGAACGCTGCATTGTGGAGGAGATGACGTTCGGCTCAAGCTTCACCTCCTGCATCTTGCCGAGAAGCTCCAGAGCCCGCTGCCACTGCTCGCCCTTCTCGCAAGCGCTAATCCCCGCATTGTAGCTGATGACGTTGGGCTCCAGCTTCACCTCCTGCATCTGGCTCAGAAGCGCCCACGCCCACTGCCACTGCTCGCCCTTCTCGCACGCGCTGATCCCAGCATTGTAGCTGACGACATTGGGCTCCAGCTTCGCCTCCTGCATCTGGCTCAGCAGCGCCAGCGCACGCTGCCACTGCTCGCCCTTCTCGCACGAGCTGATCCCAGCATTGTAGCTGACTAGTGCGTACCCGCGGGGTGGATCACCACCATCGAAGCACAGGGGGCAGTGCCTGTAAGGCAGGGTCCAACAACCTGTCACGAAAAAGGGTCTTGCTTGTGACAGGTTGCCGGTATTTTTTCAGTGGCCCTAAGAGGCCGCGCGGCCAGAGAAAAAACGGGGGGGCGGCCCGACGACGACGACGACGACGACGACGACGACGACGACGACGACGACAGGTTGTTGACTACTCTTGGAGCCTTTTGAGGCTCTCCGTGGCCGTCGTCGTCGTCGCCGTCGTCGTCGTCGTCGGCGTCGTCGTCCCCGTCGTCGCCGCCGTCGTCGTCGTCGTCGTCGTCGTCGTCGTCGTCGTCGTCGTCGGGCCGCCCCCCCGCTTTTTTCTCTGGCCGTAGGGCCTCTTAGGGCCACCGAAAAAACAACGGCTCCTGCCAGCTGCCTGCTCCGAACGGCCCTCTGGGGCCTGCGAGCCCCAAGTTTTCCTTCAGCGAGAAGGTCGTCGTCGTCGTCGTCGTCGTCGTCGTCGTCGTCGGCGTTGTCCAGGGCTTCCCCCCCATGCAGGATCACGACGACGACGGGCTGCGGGAGAAGCTGATCGCGATCGTTGCCCAGGCCGCCGCCTCCTTTTCAAGGGTCCTCCTCCTCCTCCTCTCCTCCTCCTCCTCATCCTCCTCCTCCTCTTCCTCCTTCAAGGGTCGGGCCCGGGTCGGCCACGAGGCGGAGGAGGAGGAGGAGGGCCCGGAGCCCCCCCCCTCTTCGGTGCGGGTGCCCGCGCCCAGCCCAAGCGGGAGCCCGCCGCCGCCGCAGGGCGCCAAGGTACGGTAGGTTCGCGCCGTGTTGACGCGGCGGCAACCCCAGCGCGGGCGTTCAAGGTTGAACGCCGCCAGGGGCCCTGAATCGGCCGATATCGAACGGTATGCGCTTACCGAAAGCCGCGGCCGTTCAAGGTTGAACGACCCACGCGGTGTCAGAAACCAGCGTCGACGTCATCGCGACGTGAACCTGCCGTGATGAGAGGGTCGCAGGGGATTCAGATCGGTTTCTACGGGGGGGCTCTCGGAGGTCCTGGAGTGGGAAATGGGCAACGTGGGACGGGGGGCGTCGCGGAACCGTGACGGCGGCCGCCCTTTTCGCGAGCTCGGCTTCTGGAGGGCGCTCCTGGGCCCCGCAGAGAAACATGCCCCCGCGGCAACAAGACACGTCCCAGGGATGGGGTCGAGAGCTCCGGGGGCCCACGCCGGGAAACCCACGCCGTGAAGAGGTCACGGCGTCGGAGGTCTTGGGAGGCAGCGCCCTCCCGTCTTGGCGGCGCTCCCCTGGCTCACTTGGGGCTCTCTGGGTAGCCTCCTGAGGAGTCCTGTTGGAGCTCTTTGGGGCCGTCTCAGCGCTCTCTGGGGCCATCCTGGGGCCCTCTTGGGTCGTCTTGGAGGGCTCAGGCTGTCTTGGGGCCCTCGTGCTGCCGTCTGGGGCTCCCTTGGGAGCCTCCCGTGGCCCTCTCGGGGCTTTCCTGGGAGCGTTTTGGAGCCCTCCGGGGTCCGTCTTGGGCCGTCCTGGAGCTCCCTGGGGCCGTCTTGGGGCTCTCTTGGGCCGTCTTGGGCCGTCCTGGAGCTCCCTGGGGCCGTCTTGGGACTCTCTTGGGCCGTCTGGGCGTGCTCTTGGGTGCCTCTGGGGCAGTGTTGGGCCCGCTTGGGAGGCTCATCCGGCCTTCTTGGACGCTCTGCCGACCCAGAACGCGACTCTGGCAAAAATGTACGTTTTCCAAAAGGAATGGGGCGATGTTTGTTTCGTGGGGGTCCTTTCGGAAGCCTCAGGGGGCGGCTTCGGAGCGTCTGGAGCCGTCCTGGAGACGTCTGCGGGGCGTGCCGCGTCGATCTGGAGCGGTCTTGGGCCGTCCGCTGCGCGATCGGGGCCGCTCCGAAGGCTCCGCGGCGGCCCCGGGGGCTGCCCGGGGCGGCCCGGAGCGCCGAAGGGCTTGCTGGGAGCGGCCCGGAGGAGGCCGGTTCGATGCCACCGAAAGCTCTGCCACACGCGCTGAACGCTGCATTGTAGGAGAGATGACGTCGGGTTCCAGCTTCACCTCCCGCATCTCGCTCAGCAGCGCCAGCGCACGCTGCCACTGCTCGCCCTTCTCGCACGCGCTGATCCCAGCGTTGTAGCTGACTAGTGTGCACCCGTGGATTAAATCCACGGTGTGCTGAACCTGAGACGCGCACACCGTGTGTGTGAGCCGGCGAAGGCGTAGCAGAACATAGCATCGGAGCCGAACAGCTCCTCGAAGATCTGGTCCGTAAAGCTCCTTGGGGGGTGGGATGGCAGGGATGGAGGTGGAGGCGGGAGGAGAGCAGATAACGGGATTAGGGGCGCTTGACTGCGGCGTTCTCGTGCCGCAGGCCACGCTCTGGGTCGGATCGTGGAACAATCACAACGGGTCTGAAATTCGTCCTCGTGGCTTGAGGGCTGAAGGGTTTTGGCCAGTACGGTCACTCCTTGTGTCCACGTCCGGACGAAGCTCGGAAACCCTGTGGGTTGGGGCCCTGGGAGAAAGAAGGGCGCGTGTTTGTATGGATAGTGGCAGAGCTGCGACTTCGTGAAGAGATGCTGGAGAAACTGGACCCTCGAGGTTGCCCATATCCGTGGATGGAGGGCGTTCGTGCTACACCCCGTGGAAAAGCAATGCAACTCATCTCTAAATGCGTCCCAGGACCCCTCCCTGTGTCCATCCGGCGCAATTGTCCGCCCCGGGTCTGTGCCTCAGGGGCCCTGGGCCCGGAAAAAGCCCCGAGAGGCCGAAGTCTGCGGAAAACAAAAACGGG